CTGGCTGGCTGGCTGGCTGGCTGGCTGGCTCTACCTCTCGACGCGCGAAAGCGTTGATGGGCCTCGCAGCTCCACTCACGGCACTCAACCCGCGCTCCCACTGCGCGTCTTCGCCCGACCGTGCCAGATCGGGAGGTGCCTCGCGGGGGCACGGCCCTGGTCCACAGACGCGCCCAGAATTCTCAAAGTAGCCAACCTGGACAGAAAGCCCTTGTCTGGTGGCCCTCCGCCCGCATCCGTACCCCGAATATTCCACAGCTCGGTCCCGCACCCAGCTGCTCATCCACCCTCCACCACCATCATCATAGTCTCCTGCACCCATCCGGCACTTGGACGCTCCCGCATCTGCCATCGTCGGCTTTGCCCGTCTCACGCTATCCACGTCCAGACAACCCGGGTCTCTTTTCCGCCTCAACGGCAGCGAGCAACGAACCCCACCGCACACCTCGAGTCCAAACCGCCGTCCTCCGGCCCCGCACTGCTGCTAGCGCGTGCAGCACCCTCAACAAATCGTATCGCTCGCCAAAGACTTCCCGCGGCTCGTTCTTCAAACACCCACAATGTCAACCACAGAGAAGAAGTCCAAGGAGAACCAACTCAATCGCTCCTCGCACAAGTTGTAAGTTGGCCCGCGTGCCGTCGCTGCTCGTAGGTTGGGCCTGCCATAACTGACTCCCATGTCTCTTGCTCTCCTCTCTCTGCGATGATGCCGAAACAGCCAAGTGAATGATGTTGTCCTCGCCAAGATCCGCGGATTCCCAGCATGGCCCGGTATCGTACGTACAACCCAAGCAGATGCTCCGTCAACTGCATCCGGGCACAAAAGCTGACAATGCCTTTCTTTGCTGCCTTACAGGTGATGGACGATGCCAACGTACCTTCTGCCGTCCTTAAGGAGCGTCCGAGCATCAAGCACCGCGACCTTTACACCATCCGCTTCTTCCCCGCCGCCGACTAGTAAGTGGCTGCCCACCAAGCGCACCATGCCCACAGTGCCCTTGAGCTGACTCCGTCTTCCCGCATCGCCACCTTCCAGCCACTGGGCTTTCTCCAAAGACCTCGAACTGCTCAACGCAGACAGGATCGACGCCTTCCTCGCCGGCCCGAATCGCAAAAAGGGCGATCTCAGACAAGCCTACGAGCTCGCGCGCGACCCTAGCAGCTGGAACGAAGAGCAGAACACCATTGTCAGGAACTACGAAAAGTCGCTCCAGGACGCCGCCGAGGAGGAGGAGGAGAACCAGGACCAGCTCGAGGAGGACGAGGAGGACGAGGGCGAGGAAGAGGAGGCATCGAGCAAGAAGAGGAAACGCAGTGCCGAGGGCGGCAAGGTGCGCGAGAGTGCCGACAAGCGCAAGAAGGTCAAGGCGGCCGAGGCGGCGGCCAAGCCCAAGGCGGAAAAGCCGAGCAGCAAGGTGGGCGCAGGCACCAACGGTGAGGACAAGTCGGAGGAGCTGTTGGATCCCGAGACCAAGAAGGTCAAGGAGTGGCGTCACAAGGTGCAAAAGGCGTTCCTCGCCAAGGACAGCACCATCCACGCCGACGACATGCCCGCAGCAGACGCCACGTTCAAGGTGATCGAGGAGTTCGACGGCATGACGGCCGAGCATCTGCGCACCACCAAGATCGGCAAGGTGATGAAGAGGATCATGCAGCTCGGCGACATTCCGCGCGAGGACGACTTCCACTTTAAAGAGCGCGCCGAGAAGCTGTGCGCCAGGTGGGGAGCCATCATGGCGGGCAGTGGCGACGCGCACAAGGACACGCCAGGCGACGACTCGGTTGCGGAGCACGCAAAGGAGAACGGTGACGCCAGCACCGACGCGCCAGAAGCCGCCAAGCCAAAGCCCGAAGCAGACGACACGCCCTCTGCGCCTGCTGCGGAATCGTCCTGAACACGCCCTAAGCAAAAGCGGCGTTCCACCACCGCCATCCTCGCTCGTCCTCCGCTGGCCATGTCGGGCGTCCAAATCATCTTGGCCCCGCAAGGCTGCGACACCCCCGGATCCCAACCTGCCCACGACCACACTTGGTCGTGTGGGCGCTTGTAAGAACACCGTCTCACCCTCTTCTCTTCAACCCTCCTTGTGTAACAATCGGCTCGATACCGTTTCTATCCTCCTCGCTCTCCTCTTTGTTTCGCTCTGTTTACCGGCGGGCGGGCACGCACATTCACCGGACATCCATGTAAAACGCGCGCTTCCAGCCATGTTTTTGTGCGTCGGACGGTCCCACTGAGGCTGAGATTGGGAAATGGTGGTTGAGATTAGAGTGTGCTGTTTGGCTGCTGAGGCGTGTCTGCGGGAAGTGAGGTGGGTGTGGATGCTGCGACGGACCTCACGCGCGATTCGTTGTGGCTGACTGTAGCTGCCCAGTCTCGGGTGAGGGTGGCGATGCGTTGGGAAGCGAGCGTCGAGGGTCCGAGGATGTTGTTCCTCAACACGGCCTCAAAGTTGCGCTTGAGATCCTGGTCTAGACCCTCGGAGAAGCGCTGCCAGTCCCGGCGGAAGTGGCGGCGATACTTGTTGTACTGGCCCTGCATCCTCCATCCGACGAGCGTGAGTGTGAGCAGTCCCAACCCCAGCCCTGTGCTTGGATCGAGCGCCAGTGATGCAGCCGTCGCATCTAGCGATGCTCCGAGCACGCTCGCCGACCCCACACCTGCTGCAGTGACGGCGACTGCAGCCGAACTCGTCACCGCCAGTCGACGCGACTTGGTGGCGAGCTCATCAATCGGACCACCCACCTGGAGGAGCTGCGCACGACGGCGTGCGATGGGCTCCATCAGCGTCGACGGCTCGATGGTGCGCAACGACGACCTGCCGGCCTCGGCCTCGTTGCTTAGCAGCGCCACGTCGCGCGAAACCGCGGGAATGCCCGGTCCAAGCTCGGACGCAATGCGACGGAACTGGTGCAGCAGCTCGTCGGCCGCGTGCACGTGCTCCTTCTGCAGGGTGGCGAGGCGACCCGACTCGTAGGCGAGGTCCGACTCGAGCGAGGCGGCAAAGTTGGCACACGCTGCCTCGAGCTCCTTG